GTCCATCTGGCTCCTCCCGCACTGTTGCTGTTGTGGAGACCGTCCCGTGTTCTGCTACTCTAGAATTGCATCTCCCTCAGACTTAGATTGGTTAGCTTCTGGCTCAGCTTGATTCTATGATATCTTCCAGACCATCATCCTCTACTATCACTTTGGCTATAGGTACTCCTACTTTCCATGTTTGCTCTGCACATCCTACTTGGGTTCTGGATTCTAAGGCAAATGACCACATGGCGGGTGAGCGTTCCTACCTTTCTTCTCTAGTTCTTGCTACAGCCCAAACTGTTTGTCTTGCTGATGGTTCTACTACCTCCGTTCGTCATCGGGTGGTGTTACTCTATCTCCTAATATTACTCTTTCCTTTGTCCTACATGTCCCTAATTTTGCATAAAATCTTGTTTGTGAGTAGGCTTGCGAAGGCCTTTCATTGTGTTGTCATTTTCTTACCCAATTCTAGCTTGTTATAGGACCCAAGTTCGAAGAAGATTTTTTGTAGGGGATATGAGCGTGACAGTTCATACTACTTCGGAGATCCACCAGATCAGCCGCCTCTTTCTAGTTTTTCCACTTCTATGTTACTTGAGGATTTATCCTACTATGTTTTTTCTTTTAAGACTTTAACATTGTGTCATGCTCGTCTGGGTCATGCAAATTTCCAGTATTTATGTTTATTGTTTCCAAATTTTAATAAAGCTTGTAAGACTCATTAGTTTCAATGTGATGTGTGTGTGTCAGCTAAACATGCACGTACTACTTATATTCCTCGTATGCATCGTGCTTCTTCTGTGTTTGATCTTATTTATTCTGATAGTTAGGGTCCTTCACATGTTGCTGCCTTGTCCAACCATAAATATTATGTGACCTTTATAGATGACCAACTCGTTGTACTTGGGTTTATCTTGCTAACGTAAATCTAATGCCTTTCCTATGTTTGTTTAGTTTCTTCAGATAGTTAAAACCCAGTTTTACACTGTTGTTAGAAATATCCAATCTTATAATGGTGGGGAATACATCTCTGATATTTTTCGTTCCCATCTTAGCTATACTTCAACAACTTACTTGTCCTAATACTCTTGAACAAAATGGGAATGATGAACGAAAAAAAGGTCAAATTATGTCTGTGATTTGTTGTCTTCTCAAGGGAACAAATGTACCTAAGTTTTACTGGCATAACGCTATTTTTACCGCAATTTATCTTATTAATCGCACTCCTAGTCGTGTCTTACATGGTCTTGACCCTCTAGGCCTTACACCCTACAAGGACTCTCTTTCCTCTCCTACCTCGGGTTTTTGGGTGCACTTGTTCTATTAAGAATCTGAGTCCTACTCGCACTAAGTTAGATGATAAAGCTATTAGATATATCTTGGTAGGGTATTCTACTATATCCAAAGGGTATCGGTGTTATGATCCTAGCACTCGTAGGTACTATCATTCTTGTGATGTGACATTAAGATTCCCTTTTTTGGTACTCACTCTTCTGTGCATGATTCCTCTCTCTCTTGTCCCATTTCTGGCCTCTAATGTTTGGCCTCTTCCCATTTTTCATGGGATTGAAGCTGTCTCTCCCGAGATTGAAGCTGAGGCTCCTCTTCCTTCTTCTCCTCCTCCACCTCCTCCTCCATTGCAAGTATATTCTCGTCGTCCTCGTCCCCTGCCAACAACCTCTTCGATACATGGGTCAGCTAATTCTTCTGCTTTGGTTATTGTTCCTCGTCGCAACCCTCCTCATAATAGACATCCACCTAATCGTTTTGGATATCATAGCAGTACTAATCATCATATTTCCCAGTATCTTTATTATAAATGTGTCTCTCTTGCTTATCATTCCTTCCTTGGCAAGTTCAAGTTGGAAACTATTCCTCGTTCTGTATCAGAAACTCTTTCGAATCCCAAGTGGGGGTGGCCGCTATGCAAACAGAGATGGCAACTTTGGAACAAAATTAGACCTGGCAGTGTAGCATCTCGAGTTTAAAACTTGACTTGAAAACCACATGTATGGATGCCCTGACGTATTCTCGGGCTTGCAAATTAATGGACCAAGTTGATATTTGATTAGTTAAATTGTCATTACAATTGTTTAACACGTAACACTTTTGTTAAACTTGTTTCGAGCATTTGGGAGAACCAACGAACCTTAAAATTGAATTAGGAGCAAGAGCCTACCCAGGAATGGGCCGCTCCAGCAGTGAATTATCGGGCGCTCAAGCCACGACCAAGCAAAATGGTCTAAGGTAGGCACCGCTCGAGTGGCCATGCTAAAATGGACTAATGTGGCTACACCTCCACCTAGCATTTTTGAACCACTTTTTAGATATTTCTGAACCTAAAACCCACTCTGCACATTACACTCTTATACCTCTCTCTCTATCTTCCTTTACTTTTCTCTCCCATGGTTTTGAGCACGTTATACTCATGTAGAACATCATGATCATGCACATGTGTCAATGCATATTATCCTTTGAAATGTTATCCTACTGGACTATATGTTCACCCTACGTGGCTAAAATCTTTTTCAAGTGTTGGTGGCGTGCCCCGACCTTGGTATGAGGCGGTGGAATATATGCGCAAACTAGAAAAGCTCTCTTGATTTGTAGGCATTAAGCCATCTTTTGTAGGCCAAGTGCCAATTTTTTTTATTTTTTTTAAGGGTTGAACCCTATTGTTGATGTAAGCCTAAGGGCACTTTACTTATTTACTATAATACTATTTTGCTTTACATACTATATATTCACTCCATCTAGATGATGAATATAAGATGCATGTAATTGGACAAATCTCATGACATGTATGACGTTATAACCATCTATATTAGAGACTTCGTTTTTATTTAAATTATTTTCTTCTCTTTTATTATTTATACTTAAATTTCCGTGAGTCGAATCTTGGAAATCCAGGGTGTAACAAGCAGTTTGTATCTCTTTTCAATCTGGTGAAAAGATTGTTGGCCGCAAATGGGTGTTCAATATTAAGTATCTTTGTAGATGGCATTGTGGACCACCACAAAGCACAGCTGGTTGCCAAGGGCTTTACTCAGGTTCCTAGCAAGGATTTTGGGGCTACCTTTGCACCAGTCGCCAAGCTTACCTCTGTTAGGCTCCTTATCTCTCTTGTTGCCTCACATTCTTGGCCTCTACATCAACTGGATGTCAAGAATGCCTTTCTGCATGGGGACTTACTTGAGACTATTTATATGGATTCTCCACCTGGTTTTCGAGCTGAGGGGGAGTATGCAGGGATAGTGTATTGACTATGCAAGTCCTTATATGGGCTTAAATAGTTTCCTCACGCCTGGTTCAGTCGCTTTAGCTCTATTATTTTATCCACAGGATTTGTTCAGTGCCACTCAGTTCATACTTGCTTTATTCGCAAGACTTCCACTGGTCAGTGTATTATTTTGCTTGTATATATTGATGATATCATTCTTACAGGTGATGATTCAGTTGGCATGGTTCAAGTAAAGAGAGATTTGAGTCAAGCATTTGACATTAAGGATCTAGGTCCTCTCAAATACTTTCTGGGTATTGAGGTTGCTCGCTCGCATCGGGAGATTTCGTTGTCCCAAAGGAAATATGCTCTTGATCTTCTTCACGACACTGGAATGCTAGGGTGTAAGCCAGTTTTTACTCCTATAGATCCAAACCTCAAACTTACATTAGATTCTGGCAAGTTACTAAAGGATTCAGGCATGAATCAATGCTTTCGTTAGCCGTCTCATATAACACTACACCCAACTTAACTTTTGCAGTTAGTGTTGTAAGTCAATTTATGCATACACCTCATACAGAGCATCTTGATGTTTATCATATTTTGCGGTATTTGAAGACTTCTCCTAGTTTGGAATTATTTTTCACAACTGGTCATCAATCAGTGCGGACTATGCAAGATCTAGAACTGATAGACAGTCCACATCTGGTTTCTATACTTTTTATGGTGATCACCTTATACCATAGAAAAGTAAGAAACATGCTATTGTTTCTAGGTCTTTTGTTGAAGCTGAGTATCAAGCAATAGCACAGGGTACATGTATGTGAAGTTTTATGGCTTCACTCCATTCTTGCAGAGTTAGGATTTACTGAGGGTGTTTCATCTCTTTTGTTTTGTAACAACAAATAAGCTATTATGTTATCCTCTGATTCAGTACTTCATGAGCGGACGAAACACATTGAGGTTGACATACATTTCATTCGAGAAAAGGTTCGTACTAGTATTATGAGTCCATCCTTTGTCTATTCTTCTGAGTCCATCCTTCGTCAAGCTGAGTTTGTTGAATGTCTTCGCACCAGCTTGAGGGGAGAGTGCTGGAATTAGAATTAATTAGGTCTTATTATATGGCCATTGTTTAGGCCTTGATTTTGTTTCTTTTTACGTTATTTCCTATCTTGTAAATCTTTATCAGTATATATACACAAACTAATGTCCATTCTAGACTAAGCCATTCAATTATATTATTCTTCTTCTCCAGCATTTCTCATTTTCTTATGTACTGAGTATTTTTAAAAAAGTATTTGAATATCTACGATTAACGATTTGATATTTATAAAATATCTTTTGATTCACAATCCAATACAGTCAGTTCGATAACCATTTCAGACACAAGCCTCTAAATGCCCTACCCCCACCTTTATACCACTAAACAAACGAGTTCTCATGATATACAAATGAGAAATTCTTTAGTGTGCACCCTCTTAGGGGTGCATATCACAAGTTGCGCAAGTTCATTACAAAATTTCGTAACATCAGCTACAAAATGCATAATCTCATCACAACTTAGCATAACAAAATGTCCAAAATTTTGTGGTTGATGTTACAAAAGTTTGTGACTTGGTTACTACGGCCTTGTTTGGTTTGTGTTTCTCAAAAAATTTTGAGAAAAATTCTCTACAAATAAGTTTTCAAAAGTAATCAAACCAAACAAATTTTCTCAAAATTTTTTTCCAAAACTTGTTTGGTTTACAAGTTTTCCAAACAAATCTCTCTCTCATACACATCAAATCAATCACTTTTTCCAAAACTCTCTCTCAAAATAATTTTTCAAAACATCTTTTGAAAAAAAACCAAACCAAACAAATTTTCGTACTTTTTATCTCAAAACATGTTTCTCAAATACAAACCAAACACGCCCAACATTTTTTGTTAAGTCAATTTGAGGGAAGGTTACGCATTTTGTGGTTAATAGTATGAAATTTTGTGAGAAAATTACGCCAATTTATGATAGGATGCATATGGTGTGCCCCCCTTATAGGATTTTCCACGTATTAAATATGAGACCTATGGTATATTAAAAACATATATATATGTATATATATGAGACCTATGGTATTAAATCTCCCTAAAAAAAACCAATATATGTTTCTGAATACAGAGCATTAAAATTAGTCATACAACTATACGGACAATATAAATCAAGTTATGCATACTGCAGAACACCGTTGTAAAGATAACACCAAGTCAGAGGTAAAAGATAATAACGAATGTCCCTGACAAAGTGTTACGGTAAAAATGAAATTCATTTAACTTATGATACATAGATGGAATCCGGCTCTTATTATTAGTAATTAATGTTGATCACCATTTGATATCTTAGAAACTTGAGCCTATTGCATCTTTTTAGCCAAGTCAAACTGCTTGCTTCATGGAAAAGTATACATTGAAATACTTATCAGTAATATTGTACAAGTATTTGACACACACGAGTATATGATACACAGAAAACTTCATAGGGGGTTCACCCAACTACATGCAAGGGTATATTTAAGTTTCATTTCTCCCAATGAAAATTTTATCATGAATCTTGGGGAAATCATATCCCATTATCATCAAGTACATTTAGGGGGAAATTGTGTCTTTATACCTCAACTCAATTTTTACCCATAAATTTTTCGCCGCAAATATACAGTGCTTCGAGAAAAATGAAACATTACCACAAAAGCCGATCTGTCACAAGTATCACACAATTCAAGCAAAACAATAAGAACCTATCAATAATTTTTTTTCATAAGGGCCCATAAGCTCACCTAAAATACGAACATAGCACATTTTCTTCTTTTTTTTGGTTGGTCCAACATAATTAAATGGCATTCATACAAATATTACATTTAGTTGTTTTCACAATAACAAAAAAAAATATTCTATGCAATTTGGATGATAAAAGCAAGGGGCCCCCTTGTGGTTTGGCCCTATGTTACCTGGAGTACGGATCATTTCGATACGTGAAACGGGAATGGAAATGTGGTACGCCACATGCTCCAAAATGTGAAGGGTAAACTTATATATATTGCACTTGAGAATTTAAAGTATATTTAGAGTAATTTTCTTTTAACTATTAGGCATCCAATAAAATATATATATATTCATTTTTGATGTTTTTGTCTTGTCAAAACTTAAGCCACCTTAGATTTTAGTTCATCATATTTGATTTTTTTCCTCCAAAGATAACATTTAAGGAAATATATTAGAAAAAACTTTTGAAATCACTTCGGATCACTAAATTTACCGTTTTGGAACGAAAGTGTACCATATTTTGGAACATACGTACAAATACATAATTCGCTAGATTATTAGCGTTTTCTGATAGTACATGGCCAATGTGCACATAACCCCCATTGGTTTGTGGACTAAATTGTACAATCAAACCTGTTAACGGCTTGAGCAAAAAGACTAAAATACCCTTGTACACAAGTAACCTCATTGTGCAAAGATATTTTCATCATTTTTTTTTTTATTTTGAAGCAAAATTCATGTTAACCCCATGTGCTTTACTCCATGTGCAATTTACCTTTGACATTTGAAAATGAGCACATAAACTTATGTCTTGGCACCTGTTTCACACTTACTATTAATCACAAGGGGTTATGTGATTGTTTTCAAATAAGGGTAATCCACACATGGGACAAACGGGTTTCAATGAAATTTTCCCTAAAAACAAACCAATTTCGAAAGCTAGCAACAAAAGATCATACGGTTAACACACAAACAAACATGTATAGGCATAGGGAAAAAAGAAAAGTGAAGTGGCAAGAAAAGATTTTATAATTAATAGCAATACAGAAACAAGTAGAAAATGTGCGGTTGTAAGGAGAAAAGGTGAGAGAATAGATCATACAGAGTTGATAACAATAATGGATTCATGAAAGGCTTGGCGTTCCCTCCCACCATCACAGGTGATGAAGAATCCCTGCACTCCAGGACGTAATGGGTACGAACCCTTCTTCACACTTGTCTGAAAAATTAAAAAGAAATTGGATTTTAGCATCGGAAAATCAAATACATATATATAGGAATAGAGAGAGAGAGAGAGAGAGAGCTGACGTTGAAAGGGAAATATCTTTGCTTCCTCTTTGTGGTGTTCTTATTGGTATTGGTATTGTTGCTGGACTTGGATTTGCTTTCAGAGGCCATTTGAGGGTTCACTGAGTATCTGCTACAGCTACTGCCAAGCCAGTTTGCACTGCGAAGAGTGAGAAAGAGTTACAACTTACAATACTACAAAGGGAACCGAGTTTATACAAAGCAATGTTTTGAAAAACAAAAATGCTAGAGGTCCCAAAAATTCTACCAAAAGTTTTACCAAATGCCTCACATGGGTCTGGGACCCACATGGGACCCACATTGTGTGGGTCCCACACCCATGTGAGACATTTGGTAAAACTTTTGGTAGAATATTTGGGGTCTCTAGCCAGACCTGAGAGGTGACGCCGGCGACCGAAATGCTAGATCTTTGAGATGCTGGATCAGACCTCAGCTCCTCCTCAGATAGACCACCGAAATTGACACATCTGGGATGCCGGCGGTTCGACGAAAGAGAGAAAAGGAGAGAGAGAATGCCAGACCTGAGAGGTGACGCCGGCGACCGAAATGCTAGATCTTTGAGATGCTGGATCAGACCTCAGCTCCTCCTCAGATAGACCACCGAAATTGACACATCTGGGATGCCGGCGGTTCGACGAAAGAGAGAAAAGGAGAGAGAGAATGCCAGACCTGAGAGGTGACGCCGGCGACCGAAATGCTAGATCTTTGAGATGCTGGATCAGACCTCAGCTCCTCCTCAGATAGACCACCGAAATTGACACATCTGGGATGCCGGCGGTTCGACGAAAGAGAGAAAAGGAGAGAGAGAATGCCAGACCTGAGAGGTGACGCCGGCGACCGAAATGCTAGATCTTTGAGATGCTGGATCAGACCTCAGCTCCTCCTCAGATAGACCACCGAAATTGACACATCTGGGATGCCGGCGGTTCGACGAAAGAGAGAAAAGGAGAGAGAGAATGCCAGACCTGAGAGGTGACGCCGGCGACCGAAATGCTAGATCTTTGAGATGCTGGATCAGACCTCAGCTCCTCCTCAGATAGACCACCGAAATTGACACATCTGGGATGCCGGCGGTTCGACGATGAGTATGGCGACGGCGATGGCGACGGTGACTACGGAGAGGTTGAAAAATCTTTGAGAAGCGGCGACGCTGGGGATGAAGAGAGAGAGATCTCGTCACTTTGACAGCGATCTCGTTGCTGAGATCGACGGCGACCCGAAGGCCTATCGCCGGCGCACAACAGGTCAAAAGCACTAGGGTTGGGATCCAGAAGCACTAGGGTTTTTAGAGAGAGAAAACTAGAGTGATAGTGAGAGTGAGTGGCGAGATGCTGTTTTGGAAAATGTATACAACGTGAGTTGCTATTTCAATAGATTATTTAAGTTGTTATTTTAATAAATTATTTTAATTTTTAGTTATTTTAATAAGTTAAAATTTTTGTATTTAAAAAGATAATTATTATGCTTGGTTGTATTTATTTGAATTTTTTTTTGAAAAAGTGATTTGAAAACTCTTTTTTGAAAAAAAATTCTTGTTTGGTTCTTCAAAAAATACAAAAAATTCATATCAAAACATTCTTTCAAGGACATTATATATATACATGCTTGGTTTTATAAAAACATAATATAGCATGTATCCATTTATGAGTATATATCTTATCATTAACTATGTCACTTTTTTATAAAATTTCCACTCATTGCAACCATAGAAAATGTAATTTTTTTTTTCTTAATTGGCATTAAAAAATTTATTTCGTATAATCTAATTTTCATAAATATTATGCACAAAATGAAATCATAAATTTGTATTCACAAGATCGTACACTTGGCAAAGTTATGTAAAAAATTTCAATATAACCAAAATTTATTTACAAATTTGCAAAAATGGTAAATTTATACAAATTTCCAAAAAACATAAATTTATACAAGTTTCCAAAAAAGACTGAATTTATGTACAAATTTTCGTAAATCGTAATTTCAGAAAAACGCCCAATTATTTCAAATTGGCATTAAAAAAATGTGAATCGATGTGTAAAAAAATTTATGAAATCATAAATTTTTTTACAAATTTACGATTTAAAATATCATATATTTATGTTTATTTTTATTTTCAAAATCATAGAATTTCCATGAAATTTAAATAAATAGTCAAACTGAAAAATAGTTTTGGTTGCTTGTGTAAATAATAAAAAAAGAAAAATGTATCTATATGTACCATAGGCTAAAGCCTAGGCTATGAAGAAGAGTACAGGTAGATTGTACTAAAGGCAAGGCCATTCCCATTACTTGAATAATCAGATCTAATATTTTTTTTTTGAAAACATAACTCATTTTTTAGAATAACCAAACAAGTTGTATAAAATTCTCAAAAAATCATAGATTTTTTTATAGTTGGATGTGATATTTATGAGAGAAAAAATGAAATAATTATAAATTTAATGTAATACTTTGTCTTATTAACTATTTTAATTTTGTCTTTTAATACTATTTTAACATAAAAAAGCCAAAAAGCTTTCTTCCCAAACACTCTCATATTAGTGCCGTTTTTGCAACACACCAAAAACGCAGCTTTTTGTGTGTGTTGCCAAAAACACCAGGTTGCCCAAAACGCCCCAAATCCCATTTGGGAAGACCAAAAACGCAACACCCAAATTTACCAAACTACCCTCTAGAAAATTTTAATTGATTAATTCAAAAATCAAAAAGTAAGGATATTTTAGTCATTTTGGAGTGATGTGACACTTTTAAAAAATATTAAACCAAAAATCAAAAAAGTCAACTTTTTACCAACTTCCTAAATCACTTCTAAAAAAGCCAAAAAGCTTGATAAAAAGCCAAAAACTAATTTTTTATCAATTTTTCAAAATACCCCTTAGTTTGTAATGACCCGTGTAAGTACGGGTTATTATTGTAAGTATTATTAGTAATATATTTATATTTTATATTTTAATAATTTTTTAAAAATTAAATTGTAATGACCCGCGTAAGTACGGTTTATTGTTAGTAGTATATTTAAGTTTTGTATTTTAATAATTTTTTAAAAATTAAAATATTATTATATAAAATTAAATATAATAAATAAATTATTAAAAATATGATAAAATTATATAATATGATATATATCATTTTTTAATTTATTATATACCTAATGATATAGATTCTAATTCTAACCATATAATTTTAGGTGAATTTATGAAACTTTAATATTTCTTCTAAATTCATAAAAAAAAAATTATGGTGTACAATTTTTCTCAACACATAAATATAAAATAAATACTAAAATAATTTTCTTATCTAAAAAAAATATTAAGATAATTCATTGAACTAATAAAGAAGCAGAATAAAATATATATATATAAATGGCTAATTTTATTAATACATAAATTATACTCGCATAACAAATAATCAATTTTATTAAGAAGTAAATCATTAAGTAAATTTCCAATTTTTAATGATATGAAAAATAATTTTCAATTAACCATTTGGTTAATAAATAAATCATTAAGTCAATTAACAGTTTTTAATAATATTATAAATATTTTTCATTAAACAATTTTGATAATTTATTATTGCATTGAACAATAGGTTTTTGTCCTCCTAAGTATTGTGTTAAATTAAAATTTATTTGTGCAGGGAGCAAATATTCAGGCAAGCCCGCACTCCTTTCTTCCAAGCTCCTGTCTGTCCGATCAACCTGCGAGCACAACGGCGGTGAGCTACTCGGCGGTGTGTTGCCAGAAAATCCCTCCGATGATCAAGTTAGACACACACACAGGGATAGAGAGAGAGAGAGGACTGAGTTCTGTTTAGTGTTTATCTCACCGAAAATGTCATCCGTCTAGTATGGGGAGCGCAGACTCGCTTATATACCTTCTGCGCCCCAAATCTACTCACATTAGTCTCTCGACACGTGGTGTTGCTATCCCATTTGTCAGCACAAATCTTGCTGAACAACACCTAACCCATCTGTCAACCCACTCTACTGGGAGCTCGGTAACCAGATTGCAGCATCTCAGCTGCCAGCGGCCATGCTGCACTTCAAGCCCAAGCGTTCCAATAACCAAGCTCATTAAGGACCGAGCTTGGCTGCATCCCGGCATAGCCGAGCTCGAGACAGCTCGTACTAGTTTGCCACCGGCCTTCCTGCGGAGCTAACTCATAAACCGTGGAACCTACACGCCTTGCTTGGCGCCGGTCATCTTGCTTGACCGGCTTCTATACCATGAAGCCAAATAGCTCGGTCTGACCACGCCTTGCCTTAACCGAGCAAGACACTTCAGGATAGACCCGTTTCATCACTGCCCAAACTTGTTCGGCCCAAACCTACCCGGCCATTTCCACGGCCCAAACCAGACCATAAATCTCCCTCTCAAACGATAATTGTAATTTATAATATTATAGAAATGTATTCATATTTTAAACAAACCATATGGTATATTTGTAATTTGTTAAAAAATAAAATATTTATGTTTCATAATTAGGAAATTCTATTTCCACACACTGAATTACATTAGTGCACATATTCTCTCAGTACACACACTTATTAATTTGATTATTAATTAATTTTTTCAATCCACACACTAAAAGTTACAATTATATCATTCATTAATAACCATCGTACCTATTTCCAAATTTGTAGACTCATATAAAGACCATTCAAGACTACAATGTAAAGTGAAATGAAATGAAGGCAAAATCCTCTATTAAAGACCCTATTGAACCTCCATTGAAAACACTATTGAAAACCCTCAAAAATATTATTAAAGATGAGGTATCTTTCTATTTTGTTATTACATTTACTATTTCCAGATCTCTGTGCACTCCATTGCCATAAAATCCTAGGTTATTTTATTTTATTTTTTATTTTTTTCAAATTGGGGATTTTGGCACTAATTTTCCAAAAAATTATACATTTAATTTGAAATTTAACTTCTGAATAAAAGTGATTAGTTTGACAAATTTGTTTTGAAAAATAAAAAAAAAAAATCGACAATTGATGTCCGAATATAATGAAATAATTTGGTAGTTGATGTCCGAATATAATGTAATAATTCGGCACTGGTTGTCCGATTAAAATCTGCAAAAAGAAAGAAAAAAAAAACTGCACGAAAAAACTAACATTTTCATCACTAATAGAGTATAAACCTAAAGATTAAAACAATATGAGAGTTGTTATGAGAGTATTGTTTTGCAAGCGATAGAAGAGTATAGAGTGTGTAGCAAGTAAAGTGATAATAATAGAAAAATTAGAATTTAGTTTTTTTTACTCAAAAAGTGTACATTGAGATTTTTTTTGTTTTAAAAAAATGTGTACAAAAAATATTTTCATATAATATTATAAGTGTTTGTGGATGTCCATTATGGTCATTTTAGTTTAAGATTTAATTAACCATTAAAATAATATTTCATAATCTGTGCACCGTTCCCTTCATAATTGACCAGAAATGTTTGCATAATTACAAAAAAAACTTATTCATAATTGATCAAGAATGTTCGTGTATTTACGAAAAAAACTGTTGCATAATTGACCAAGAATGTTTGCGTAATTACGAAAAAAGCCCTTCACTTAATATATAGGCCATCATTAGTAAATTATTCAAAATGAATGGACAAAATCAAAAAGAAAAGACGAACTTGAAGCAGTTAAGCTATGACGACCACATCACTTATAATAATTAGCATCTAATTAATTGAGGAGATTTGGGTTTTTAATTGTCCACTACTTTGAATTAATTTGGAATTTATGAGAATTATGACGTCTGATTCGTATATGATTTGATTAAGGATTTATTTTGAAATTAAAAATTGAAAGCCTAAATGGCTCAAGAAGGTGGAATTGACGAGTTGAATCAATTTAATTTCGAGTATTGGATTATATGGGAATTTAATTAAATATTTGATTAAGTTTAGTAAAATTGAGATTTGACTAATTGGGTTTGAATTGGAATTAATTAAGCTAATTTGATTATGAGGATTGAGAATTGTGGTTATTTTGAATTAAATTTATTTGTGAGGTGTCTAATTTTATATGTAATTTATTGATAGGAATTTTGAGTATGATTAGAAATTAAAGGCCTTAAAGATCTAAGAAACCAAAATTGATGATGGAAATAAATTTAATTTGGTATTTGAAACCTTTTGAGAGTTTGACTAAAAATCTAATTTAGATTGATAAATTTAAATATAATTAATTGGACTCTAATAGAAGTCAAATTAAACTAAGTAAATTATGTAAGATTTGTAATTGGTTATAATTAAATTAATTATGTGCTAATCAAGATTAAGTAAGATTAAATGACGTTTAATTAAATTAAAATGTAATTAATATATTAAGTTATTCCAAATCAATTAACTTAATGAAGCAAAATTAGGAGAGTTCTAGTAGGATTGAGAAAGTGGGGTGTGTGCGCGCACCGTATATCCATCCCTCTAAAGAACCTATTATTCAATTATTTGACATTCCTAGTCAATTCTTTGGCATCTATCTATATATATATACTAGCGTATGCCCGTGCCTGAAGGCACGGTGTTAATGAATATTAAAAGAGTAACAATAAAAATTGCAGTGATATCAAGAACAAAGTGGTTGGCAGCTTAAATTTGTAAGCAGGACCACTGAATGGTCCAGCTAAGATAACTTCATCATACATAAGGAGTAAGGTAAAGATTTAGAAATGAGAAGACTTTAACCTAAACCACTTAATAGAAAATCATTAGTTCATAATTGAATTTAAACCAGTAACTGACAATTTTAACCATCCACCAATTTCTTGATGATTAAAGAGAAGATTCAGCAATGCTTAAGGATATGCAAATTAACTACACCTGAGACATATGAGATGGGTTCTGAGGCAGCTGATGAAAAATCAAGTCCTTCACCACCAGCCATGATTCCAATCATTGCAATCTTAACCTGCAGAAGACAAATAACAAATTATTACCAACCTGCAGAAGACAAAATGCCTTGAATCTATTTCTTTTCTTTTTATTTTCCAATAAGTTACTTGTCCATTCAAATGGATGCAACCATAAGCAAGCAAACCTAGGATAATCACATAAAAATTAAGATATCAAAAAGGATGTGCACATAACATGTTGCACTAACTCCAGCAGAATGTCAGTTTTTAACAAATAACTGATTATGCTGTCTACACAATGTTCAAACCCTCCAAAATGACTATTAAGCTTGTAAACATCATAGTAGGGTACATCATATTTGATTGTACAATGTGTTTTGAGAATTGGTATTTGATGGTGGGGTAAGGCTGTGAAGACGAAAATTAAGCCACCATAGTATTGTAAACTAAAAAGATGGGGAAGATGTGATAAAAGGGCATATTATACTAATAGAATAATGTTGGAAAGTAACAAATTCTTTAATGGTGACAGATTTTGAAGGCATGCTACCTCAAATTCACCATGATAAATTCATACCTTCGAATAAGATTAATAAAATCCATTTTATTTTAAAACGAAACTCTATAAGAGGTCATCATAAATAATTTTTAAAATCTCAAAAAAAATCTGTACTAAAAACCAAAAAACCATTATTCAACCACTATTCAGAGCAGTTCTATCTCCAGCAACAAACACCAACAATCCTAAAGGCACGTGTTTTTTTTTTTTTTTTCAAAGAGTAGGGAGTGAATTTTTTAAAATGTTTGACACTGGAAAGATATGAATGAAATGCATCTAATAAAAAATTTAAAACATGAATAAACTTTATAGTGATTAGAGTATTGACAACAAATTAAACTTAGTGTACAAAGCAATAAACTGTATAGTGATTAAAGTATTGACAACAAATTGAACTCAGTGTACAAAACAATAAAATGTATAGTGATTAGAGTATTGCCAACAAATTGAACTCTGGCCGATTAAGAGCTCCAACCGCTGTCACTGGGTTGAATTCAGGTCCAATAGGCATTCAGATGCTCTGTTCAAACACTTCTTGGGTACGACAATGTCTTTGTAAGCAGTTTTTCAGCCTACCAAATACATGAGAAGAAGCCATTAATCAATGAAACCATATAAAAGAGCTTCTATACATATGATATCTTCTATCCGCGACACTGAACACTTGCAAATGTTTACCCCAACTGGAAGACCTTGTGGATCAACCAACTAAGAAGGTAAATTCCATTGTCTTAGTTTTTTTTTTTTTTTATATTAATTTAGCTCCCATACAAATAGGTTTTCTTTTTTAGTGGGGCAAAATAACTAATACAATTTGATCCTTTAACTTGACATCATACAACAGGGAGATTCTTTCTGTATTGTCAAATTTCCAAAATTCTTTAATTGTGAAAAATTGATCACATTCATCTTATTAAATTGTTGACCAAAATTTGCAAATTTTTAACTACACAGAGCTTGTCTTATTTTTTTTGTTCAATTTTCCTACTCAGAAACAGGTATATACCACCATGCAAGAATTTGTTTTGATACCCCTTAGGCTTCAAGTTTGGAAAAAAATACTTTCCATATACAAAATAAAAATAGAGCAGATTGTTTGAATACAAAAATAAAACATATTGTAAAAATAAGGAAAATTGTTTGAATACAAAATAAAAAAATCAAACTTCGAATATTTTCATAATATTCCTTTAAACCATGGTTGCTATATCCACCAAAACTATTCCTTTAACATAACCTATGACCACAAAACATTCAACTAAAAAGTATTCCTTTAACATAACATAATTTGTTTACATAATTCTGAAGATTAATCCTGTTTATCACTCTGTTTATCTTAACATAACATAACCTATTTCTTTGTGGTTTGTTTATATAAACATTCAGAAAATTAATCCCAAAATAATTCTGAAGATTAATCACTCTGTGTATCACTCTGTTTATGTTAAAGGAATAGTTTTGGTTGTCATAATATTCAGAAAATTTAAATAAACATTCAACTAAGAAGTTTTAAGCCATAGAGACAAAATAAAAATAGAGCAGATTGTTTGAATAAACAATAATAGAATATGCAAAAGCTATGTATCTGTGTGACCTTTTCTCAATCAATTTTTAGTACTTCAAAAGTGTATTTGTGTTGTAGGATGGCCAAGGAAAAACAAAATAGGGAGGAAAATAAAACGGAAAACCCAAATAAATAAGTTCACAAATTTCTGAAGAGTCCTATACCAAAACAACTAAGACTCTACCATTTTGGTGCCAAAAAAAAAAAAACCCACTACTCAACATATTCCCAAACCAAACCAAACCATACAAAATAAACAAATTCTAATATTACAAAAGCAATAAAAGTCATTACCCTAGTACATATCATTGTAGGTAACAGAGACCAATGGATTTTTTTAAGTAAAGAACAGTGGGAAAAAAAAAAACCAAAGAAAAAACACATATTCCCAAACCAAACCAAACCATACAAAATAAACAAATTCTAATATTACAAAAGCAATAAAAGTCATTACCCTAGTACATATCATTGTAGGTAACAGAGACCAATGGATTTTTTTAAGTAAAGAACAGTGGGAAAAAAAAAACCAAAGAAAAAAAAGAAATCGAGGACTAATTCAACAAAGAGGACTAATTCATTAAGGACAACATACAAAAATCCAAAACAAATAGTAAAGAAAGTGTTTATACTTTATTGGAAGTGTTCCAAGTTATGTTTTTTGAATCCTAGGCCACTAAGATGGCAGTCATTGCCTAGTTTTTAAATAAACTAAAATTGGAATTTTCAAATCTACCATGAATAACAAAAATTTCTATCCAAGTAAACACTAAAATAAATAAAGGACACCAAAACAAATACTTACTTGGATCCATTTTTGCAAGACATAGTAGCTGCCATCCTTACACAACTTACGACTTCAACCAGAATACCGAGTCTCTTCAGATGGTATCTTGTCACAGCTGCTCTAACCGGTTTCTTATCAACTATAATTGCTTTCAATCCTTGAAACCCATTAGGGACATCACCGGCAACAGGTTTTTTTGGACAGAGCATTTTTACTATAATTCATTATCATTTCTGCTTCTGAAGTAACAGTGATGGACTTTGTTGATGAAGAAAATGTTAATCACTGCCCAATGGGTATGAAGTAAAAGTTCATACCTAAGTAGAGAAAATTCACTTTCATGGTTGCCCCATTGTGTGAATCCCCAAATAGGTTCACAATTTAATTCATTAGATTTGTTCTTGAACGACAATATTTTCCATTTCCTTGATTAAACTTGTACAAAATCCTTGGATCGTCACGGGTTATTGAAATCAATAAACTATAGATTTTGAACACAAAAAATTATCTTTCATAAACAACATACATCAAAATCAGTACTAAACTAATACCTCTATAATGCTGACATTGTGAATACAATCCAAGCCTCCCAATTGAGGAATGGCAGGTGTTCTTCTTCGGTGATCACCCGCTTTAGATCGGTCCAATCTTTTCCAATTTTTCTAATACTCTTCCTTTAGATTCTTCCTTTTTTGTAGTGGCTCCCTTTTAGGGCTGCCTCGGCTAATGAAGATTGGGATGGCAGAGAGAGAGAGGGAGGAAAAGAGAAGATGAAGATTGTGGCTGCCTCGGTTGATGAAGATGAAGATTGGGGTTGGGTCTCCAGCAAGGGAATGGGCTCTGATGGAGAGAGAGAGAGAAAGAGATAGGGGTGTGTGTTCAAAATTTGAAAATTGAAACAGAGAGAGATTTTGAGCAGAGAGGAGCACGTGAGAGAGAGATTTCAGCCACACTAGGTGAGAGACATTTTGAACCATTAGATGTTGATTGTAATTGATCTCAACCATTGAAATGTCCTTGTAGGACAAATGAGAATGGAACATTTCTAGCCCTTGGATTGAAGCAATCTAATGATTCACATTTTGACACATAGACATTTGAAATCAAACTAACCCTTCCATTGTTATATGCCCGTGCCTAAAGGCACGGTGTAAATAATATTAAGATTAAAATGCAGTTATAAAAATATATTTAACAGACTGTACTCTACAATTCGAAATAAATCAAATAAAAAAAATTAAATATCATAATGCACACAAATCAAAACAAATCAAAAGAAAACTCTTCTATCATTAAAACATTGCAAAATCAATAAAACATTGTGATCCATTGACAAAGATTAAGAGAATAGAACACATGAAGCAAAACCCACATTATAACCTCCTTTCTATTTACATTACATTAACAAAACAATTCACACATTTCACAGCACCAACACTTCAAAGATCCCCCCCCCCCAAAAAAAAAAGGGGGCATGAAATTGAACAAAGAAAACCATACACAACGATTAAAAAAAAAAACGATTGAAAATAATAAATTTCAAATTTTATCTTATACATATCAAACAATTTGTTTTTAGTTTAGTACTTAAATTTTGATCAAACTTTTTAACTCAAAAAATTTAACATTCAATTTTCAATACTTAATTTTTAATTTTCAACTGTATTAAACATTACCTGAGTCCAAACCTTATCATAAGACATAGAACTAAAGTCGGGAAATATAAGTAGAGTAATCTACCTAAAACTCTATCTTTTATGTAGTAAGTTTGTATTTGTAAAATTGTTACAAATCTTTTATAGGTTACGGCAAATTACCGTGGGTAAAACTGATAGCTTGAACTGCCCTCAATTATGTATTCATTCGGCGGAAAGATGTTGCTATTGAGACTGGACCGACCGCAAGATTAAGCTTGAGTCTGCATAAAAACCCAATTCAAGTAAAATTAATACATTAAAGACTATCAAATCTTGTGAATTTAATAGTTTGTTGAACTTAATTAGCAAAAAAAACAGAGTAAGGGTGTTGAATACTCACAGAGGCCGACTATAGGTGATAAATTCGCAAGCTTTGAATAACTTATTCCCTGCAGTGTGAGATAAAATCGACATGAGATCTGGGAAGAAGGTATAGATTTTCTTCTTTGCTATATATTTTTCTGGGATAGTATATGACCCCGATATGTGACATAGAACAAATAATTTTCCTAGCCGTTTAGTTGTGTTTCTATTTGTAGTTTTTTTGAAAAACGAAGACAATGAAAAATTCTAAAAATGGCCATCATTTTAATATTTATGATTATATATACATATGAATACTCGAAAATAAGTACTTGTTTAGTTGTGTTTTCATTTTCTGTCATCTGTTTTTCATTTTTGGAAAAATACCAAAAAATGTGACATAAAACTGGATAATTTTCCTACATAGCCCTGTTTGGTTATGCCTTTGTTTTCTTTGTTTTTCATGCTTTAAAAAAAAAAAAAAAAGAAAAAGGAACAATGAAATGTTGAAATAAAAAATAAAATAAAAAGTGGTTTTTTTCATTGATAAGCAAAAACAGACTGCTATGAAGAATGAATAATGCCCCTGCTCTCATGAGTCATATCCCTAGTTTAAGGTGAATACACAATGAAATCTATTGAAAATTCATATGCCAAAGATTAATGTTTAGGTAAATTAGAAAGAAATAGGATTTCCGGTGCAATATCTTTATATGACTTAATAGATTGGGGTGTTTCTATAAATGTTAAAATAAAAAATAAAATAAAAAAATGGTTTTTTTCATTGCTAAGAAAAAACGGTTTACGAAAATTCGAAAAATAAATCCTAAAAAGTGGGTTTTGTTCATTACAAAAATTTAATTAAATAAAAAAAGGTCACCAACCAACCTTTTTATGTTCGTTCAAAAAACAAAACACCAACCTTTTTACCTGTTTTTTGAAAATGACATTATGTGTCCGAGCGTCTCTGATTCTAAAGGCATGACGAAAACATCTCCGCTGGCGTATGCTTGAGAGAGCTCTTCACCTCCTAACATCCCTGTAAATACGGCAAGCATGCTGGAGAACAGCTTTTCCAGATCCTCCCTGCCACGAACAAATCATTCTAGATGAATAAATTTTGCCCATGGTTCTTACTGGAAAATAAATTCAGACGATCATCATAGCCCAATTTGTGTATCATTGGATGTAAGCAAAAATATAAAAATAAATAATTCATTTCGTTAGACAGCGGTTTGTGGTTTTTAATACAAAGAATCATTTTATACTATATTCTATAGAGATTGTTCCAGCAATGTTGACAAAACTAAACAGCCAATAAGTCCTTAGAGAAATACCTGTATGGTCCATCTCCAATAAAAGCAATTTGTGCCTCCGGTATCAAGTCCATGACACTGTTCAATCATACATCCCAAATGTCAATGGTTACAACTTATAATAATTATGAAAAAAAAGCATTGTTCCGTCAATATTTTGCAAGTAATATTTCCTAAATTGCAAAAGCAGAAAATACTTATCATTTGAAATAAAAGAGCAGTACCTTTTGAGTAAATCCAAACTCTTCTTAACTCCTAGTCGTCCAACATGGACTATCAATGGTCTCTCGTGGGCTCTCCATTGCTGATTAAAAAAATAACAATATATTAACATTTGGAGGAAACTCATATTACATGGCAATGAAATTTTAAGGATTGAAAGAAAGCCATACCTTAGTCTTATTCGCATTTCTTGAGAGCGATATTTGGGATGGAAGCTTTCGGAATCAACACCCTTATTCCATAGACGAATCTTGTTACCTGGAAATAAACAAAGAATTAACATGGATATGAGCTGCTATTTTCAGAGAAACATTTGAAAAAAAATAAAATAAAAATCTAAGCAGAAGCATAAATGTCAAATTCTGTTATGTGGTCAATGTGAAATTTCAGAGAGTTATCTATTGGGCGATGTTTCATTTACCTGCTGTTACCCTAGCTGCTTCAAGCTCCTTTGCAAGGGCAAACTGATGGAACCAGTGTAAGATCAACTGCCCTATGAAGAAACTCTGTTAAGAAGTGAACAAAACTTTCATTTATTAGTTCACAAACACGAAAAAATCAGAATCCATGTGAAATTGAGGCTAGAAACAAAAGTTCCCGTACTTATGACCCACCACATAGGTTTGACCAGCCAACTAAAGGTGTATCTTGGTATGTATCTGCAAGTCAAAACAGGAATCGGTGTTGATTCCGAATCGAGAGAGGAGCACGAAAGATCTTTGCAATTTTCTTATTTGTATAATCAATTTTACTTCCCAAAATTACTATATGTGAGAGAAAGATTTCATATTTAAAAATATAAAAGATTCATATCATAAACTGAGAAAGATTAATAATATTCTCTGGTTTCTCTTTTATATTATTAGATTTCATATTATAAAATACATTATAATATACTTCCCAAAATTACTATATGTGAGAGAAAGATTTCATTATGAATACATTATAATGATATGAATACTTTAATATTACTGTGCTGTCAAATAACCAAATATTTTAATGATAAGTTGATGGCATAGAGAATATACAACAGAGAGCCGAAACAGTAGAATTTAGAGCACAAACACAGAATATTTTTGAGTAATATAGAGCACAAAAATATTACTAAACTGTGTTTGATGGGCAGAATTGCTTGACAAACACAGAATTCAAGCTACAAATTCAGAATTCAAGAGTGGGAGTTCGAAGGAAGCCGAAGACAGCAGAATTTAACTATCACCTAAATTCTGAATTCAAGCTACAAACATATATAATTTTAACAAATTTCAGTTAGTAGTATGTATAATTTTAGAAGAAGAAGACATATAGCTATTAGTCAGAAGAAGTATAGCTATCTATCTGCTAGTGTAATCAATCAATCTAGAATTGTGGATAAGGTTATCGTGGCCGAAACATCATTCTCCTATCCAGCCGAAGGGCAGAATTTAGGTGAATTTAGGACCAAAATTCAGAATTCAAAATTCAGAATCCAAAAACTCATTCAGGATTCAAAATTCAAATTCAGAATTCAAAAAAGAGAAAAACACAACAGCGAGTTCGAAGTCTTACCTTGCGAGTGGGAGTTCGAAGGGAGCCGAAGACAGCCAAAAACAGACAGAACCTTGAGCAAAAACAAACCCAGTAAAATGAGATCATATACAGAATGTAGAGGAATTAAGGAACAAAATGGAACACAATGCATTTGACTACAGGAATAAAGGAACACAATAATAGAGGAAAACTCAATAACAGAGGAGATAACACATTGTATCTAACTAAAAAAAATACAACAAAGAGTAATCAGATAATCCGGAAAATAATTCTGAAATCAACAAGAGTCAAACAGACAGAATAGGAGATAGCTTCCAAGGACTCACATGAGTTATTGAAATTTTGAAATTAACATTGAGATAACACATGAGTTATTGAAATTCTGTTTCCTTTATTTTAGCATGAGTTATTAACATGAGTTATTTAACAGGAAATCAACACCTTACACACCATGTATCGAGCAACAATTGTATTTATACCCTTAACGCTAATATAACCGCCATTAATCTTTCAGTGATATTTAAACATGAGACCATGTATCTTGAAGAGAAAATCTACAGATGATGGTTGTTTGTTACAAAACAATTACTTACCAAGTCAATGTGTTTAATTACTAATTTTATTATTGGTGCTTTTCTGCATTTGCATTGTGATTTGTAGGATGTATAATATGAAAAAATTGATAAGGAAGTTTCCACACAA